TGCAATTTCACTCAAGTTCCAAGTTCTTCCTGAGTTTCCTGTCATATTCAGGGTTTCTACTTTCGAAACTGGTTATTATGGTCGTAAAAACACGATACGCGAGATGACATGATAATTGAAACAGGAACTCAGTGCAATAAATTATATCTTTTATCATAAACAGCGTCCACAAATATGAGTTTTTTAATCATAAACAGGGTACCCCTTTCAGAATCCCAGCGGAACACCCCTACCCAAATTTTTGCGGAGTACCCCCCCCCCCCCGGGGCACCATCCCTTTCTGGATGCACGCTCGCGCACGCTAATTAATCAATCAGAGCGCCCGTTATATCTTCGCTATGTTATAATGAAGAAGTAGAAAAGCGCGCGCGTGCTGTGTGCAGTAATAAAGCACTCGGGGTTGGCAGAACAAGAGAAGTGTTAGGAGAAGCACGTCGCGTAGCGGAGTGCCCTTCGACATATTCAAATTGGTCGCCATATTTCGATTTGGGTGTATAACGGGTAACTTTTAGGGGTCATTTTCAAAATGTCCAACCAGCATCCCCACTGTATTACTATGGGGGTCCCTCCGAGCTCGCGAGACGTTCTTTATTTTTTAGTTATTTTTTGTCAACATTAAGAATTATCAAGTACTTAATTTATTACCATGTGATGTTTAAGGGCATCGATGACTTTCTTCGTATCCTTCAATGTCTCGTCGTAATGCTCTTTCTGTTTTACTTCTGCTTCAATATCTGTTTTTGATCTGTTTCTTGTACAGCGCTTAGTCTGAAATTCCTCTGTAACAATCCGAGGAGTAAGGATGATTAAAAAGTGTGATATAGAGGATTTTACATGGCTGCGTGGCATGGCTCACTCACAGATCGAACCCTGAAACAACCTTTGGTCTAAACAACCTTTGGTCTAAACAACCTTTGGTCTGATCTAAGTCAGGGCACGGCTAACTCACAAATCAAACCCTAAAAAAACCTCTAGAGTGATAAAAGTCAGATCAAGGCTAGTAATCAAATATTGAACCCTGAAACAACCTCTGGGCTGATCTAAGTGAAACAAATATTTCAGAATAAATCAAGATATCGTTTTTTACCTTTAAGGACAAGTAGATCCATGAGTCTTTGCTCTACATCACCACTGAACACCACTTTGTTACCAAAGTGAAAAAGCTTTGCAATCTGCAAAAATATGGAAAAATAAAATGTGAAAATATAGAAGAAATGAATGAATGAATGGATGGATGGATGGATG